CCCTACCCCCGCCCCCATCCCCCAGGACCCTGGCGCCCCAGCCGCAGGGGCTGCGCCTCCGCGAGCCGCGATGTGCGTCGTCTCAGAGCCTGTGGGCCTCCCTTCCCTCACTGCCCTCCGTTTCCTCTGCACAGGCCCCCACCTCCCTCAGAATGACTCTGGACGTGGGGCCGGAGGATGAACTGCCCGACTGGGCTGCGGCCAAGGAGTTTTACCAGAAGTACGACCCTAAGGACGTCATTGGCAGGTGAGGCCGCAACAGGGAAAATGAAGGCCCAGAGAGGTCGGGCCCTAGCCAGTATGTATGTTTTCATCTGAGGACTGGGTAGATGGGAGAGGTCAGTGGTCGTTGGAGAACATTTGATGATTAGATTCATATTCTAGGTTAACCCCCATTTTCTCACTAATTCATTCATATATTAAACAATCAGTTGAAGCAAGTACTGTGTGACAGACATAAAGCTAAACACACGGAGGGTAGAAAAGATGTCTATGACGTGGAGGTTCTACAAGTGAAAAAAAAACGTGAACCTTCAAAAGATATCTGATTAGATAGGTGGACGACTGCATGAAGTGCTGTAGGGAAAACCAGAAAAACCACAGCTTCCCGGAAGGAGTGATCTTTGGGCTGGGTCTTGAAGTATGCATAGGTGTCCAGCATAGAAGGAAGAGCTTACCTGTATAGGCAGTGGCAGATATTCATCAAAGGTTTCCTAAATATACTAAGTATATTAGGCACTGGGGATACTCAGTGAGGGGTGACAGAAATCCATAAGATTTCTGCCTTTTGGAGTTTACAGCTTAACAGTAGAGACAGATAATAAATGTAAAAAAAATAAAGATTAGGAGCTGGGGCTGTAGCTCAGTGGTAGAGCGCCTGCCTTTCACCTGTGAGGCACTGGCTTCAATCCTCTGCACCACATAAAAATAAATATACGATATTGTGTCCATCTACAACTAAAAAAATCTTAAAAAAAAAAAAAAAGGTTAAGTGCTAGGGAGAGAATAAATAGGACAATAATATGTGAATAATTAATGATGCCACTGCAGATTGGGAAGCCTGGGAGACCTCTGAGGAAGTGAGGAGGTCTGTTTGTTTATGATGCTGAGGATCAAATCCAGGGTGATGTGTGTGGTAGCAAGTGCTCTACCACTGAGCTACATCCCCTGCCCCAAGGAAGTGAGTTTTGAACTGAGATCTGAAGGCTAAAAATGAGTGGGTCATGAGCTGAGGCAGGCTATATTCCCAGCAGAGGGGACAGTAAGTGCCAAGGCACTGTCAAGTGGGTATATGTATTCAGAAATCAAAAAGAGAGTTGAATGGGAGCTGTAATTTTTGAAGGCATCAGCAATTAGATAGTGGTGAAGGGGACAGGAAAGAGAGAAGGGAAAGGAACCTAGGCTCAGGCCCTAAAGCATGTCACCATTTAGGGCTTAGTTAGAGAAGGAAGAGCCAGGAAGGGTGACTGAGGAGATGCCATCTGAACTAGAAAAACAATGATATCAAAATCATAAGAATATCCCTCTAGAAGATTGGCAGACTCTACTGTATCAAGTGCTCCTGAGGCCAGGAAAGCAGGCATTAATTTGGCTAGATATCATTAAGCTATCATATGGTATATGAATAAGGAAGTTAGAATCAGGAATTCTGGAGAAAAGTCAAGGTTTGAGACAAGGTAGTGGGAGTGATTTACACAGAGTAGATGTTAGACCCCTAGAACTGGATGAGAAAGTATTGGGAATAGAGCTCAGCTCCAACTCTTGAGGTGCTACAGCATTTGTGGGCTAGGTAAGGTAGGATGCACCAAGATGAAGAAGAGCCCATAGGTAAGAACCAAAATAACTTCCTGCCAAGGGGAGCAGAAAGACCAGTTTTGTAGTAGTCAGATCAGAGAGGAGGGCCCTTGTGTCTTCTCCCAAGATTATGGTAGTATCATCCCTTGTTTTTCACCCCTCTCTTTTCTCCATTTCCCTCTTGTCCTGCATAATTAATTAGTTGAACATTCTCACTAAATTATTTTCCTGAGTCCTAGTTTCTTCATGGATAAAGGATAGAAGCTTTGACACATTCTGGAAATTGATGACAAGTCATAAGTCACAGAAACAAAGATTAAATAGGATTACAGCCAGCGGTGAAGCTGAAAAAGAACTTTTCAAAAAAAAAATCTTTTTAGTTGTATATGGACACAATACCTTTATTTTATTTGTTATTTGTATGTGGTGCTGGGGATCAAACCCAGTGCCTCACACATGCTAGGCAAGCGCGCTACCACTGAGCGACAACCATGGCCCCACCCCCACCCCGCCCCCCAAAAAGGAACTTTTTAGTGAAGCCCTTGAATGACCAGTGAAAGAATTGGGTTTGATTTTTTGTGTGTGTGTGTGGTAAGTAATAGGGAGACAGCATGAAAGAAGAATTTTGAGTGCATTATATAATTAACCATAAGATTCAAAGATATAGGTGTCACAAAAAGGAGGGGAAACCGTTATTTTTAGGGTCCAGCTCAGGAATAAGGGAATACTTAGAATCTGGTGGAAAAATTAATCTGGGTATGCTTTAAACAGTGTGGTCTATGTTTTAGAAGTCTAATTCTAGAAGCAATGTAAAAGATGGATTGTGTGGGCTGAGACTGGTAGCAGGGAGATGGGTGAGGGGGCTGATGTAGTTTTCCAGGTGAGAAAAATAAGGGTGGATTACTAGAACTAGAGCTGTGGAGTATGGACTAGAGTAGTTAATTGTAGATTTAGATGGAGAAGGAGAAGCCAAGCATAGCACCAGTTCCAGTTTGGGTGTCTGATTGAATGGTAACACCATTAACTGAGATCAGGGAGAGAGAGAGAAGAGCTAGTTCCAGGGGAAAATGAAGTGTTCAGTGGTCATGATGTCTATGAAATAGCTCCAGTTTCCACAGGAGAGATGTTTAAAAAGAGATATTGGCCTGACACTTAATGGAGATATCTGGGTAAGGAGGTTTAAAGTTGTGGAGATACAGAGAATCACTAAGGGAGAATGTACCTAGGCTGAGAATAGGGCCATGGTTGGCAAGCCTGATATTTATTTATTTATCAAACTTGGGGTCTTCTGACTATTAAGTAAGTGCTGTACTTCTGAGCTACAAGCCACCCAAGTCTGGCATTTAAGGAATGACAGAGAACAAGGCTCTGGATAGTGTCAGCAGAAAGAATTTGGATTTGGAGTTCAAAGACGTGTGTGTTCTGCTTAGATAGTCATGATGCACAGTAAGAAGGCTTAATTACTGAAGAGTGAATGCTTTTATAGGTAGAAGGCTATGGGATGCCAGAGGAGGGAGTAGTCCCTTGTTGGAAAATAAACACAGAATCCATGAGGTAGCATTTAATTTAGGCCTTAAAGCAGGGATTCTTAGTTCCATGGCTTTTGGGGTCCTCGAACCCCTTGAAATTGTAAAAATTTATGTAGGTGGTAGAGGTCTCTGGCTTTCACATTTTCTAAAGAGGTTGATTATATGGTAAGTAATAAATAGGGGCTAGAGGTGTAGCTCAGTGGTAGAGCACTTTCTTAGCATGCTTGAGGCCCTGGGTTTAATTTCTATTACTATAAATAAAAAAGGTAAGCCAGGCACAATGTCACACTCCTGTAATCCCAGCAGTTTGGGAGGCTGAATCGTGATTCAGGAGAATCGTGAATTCAAAGCTAGCTCAGCAACTGCGAGGCACTAAGCAACTCACCGAGTCCCTGTCTCTAAATAAAATACAGAATAGGGCTGGGAATGTGGCTTAGTGGTTAAGTACCCCTGAGTTCAATCCCCAGTACCAAAAAAAAAAGGTGAGTAATAATTAGACTGAGGGCTAGGGATAATTAGCTCAGTAGTAAAGTTCTTACCTAGCATGGATAAGGCTTTGGGTTTAAACTCCAGTACCACAACAACAACAAAAAATTAATAATTAGATCATGGGCCTCAGACTCAGATGCCCTTAGTGGTTGCTTAGGAAATTAAATTCAAAGTGGCCAAGAGTAAGACAGGAGGAAATGATGGGTTTTATGGCAGCCAAAGAGTTCTTGTTCCTTAAGATATATACTCTTGCTACATGAGAGGATAAGGCTGGGGGAGGTTTATTAATTTTTATTTTTTAAAAATATAAACCAATGAACAAATGAACAAAACACTAATATATACTACAATGTGAATGAACCTCAAAAAAGTGTTAAATGAAGGAGATCACTTGCAGATACTAAAGATCACTGCCATATGGTCTTATTTATATGAATTTTTTAAAAAGGTAATTCTGTAGAGATAGATTAATGATTACCTGAGATTGAAGGTGGGAATAGGGGTTAACAAGAAATCCTTGTCTAGGATTTTTTCTTAGGAAAGCCCTCTCTACTTCATTAATTCCTTTCACTATCCCTTCAGGATACTGTTGGCCACATTTCAGAGTTATAAAAGTTAAAGCCCAGAGCCTTATGTCAGTGAGTGACTTGGAGGTTAGTTGGTGGCAAATTTGGGGTCTGAACTAAGATCTAATTTTCAGCTTTGGTCTTCCAGGCTATGATTCCATATTTATTTGGTACCTCCTACCCTTGAGGTGTTATAGGGGATCTTTGGGATTTGGATTGGGAAATGAGAGGTGTTTGAGTGAAATATAGAAGGAGACTTCACTTATTTCTTCCCATTTCCTATAAGGGACACGTTCTGGGGCTCAGATGTGGAAAGGACTTGCCTAGGCTTACCCTTGGTGGGTAAGAGCCTGGATTCAACCAGGGTCCCCTGCCTAGTTTCCTGTGAGTTTTGTGTTGCACCTTGCTGGAAACCCAGGTTGCTGAGGCTACTGTAAGCCAGGGTGATTTCCTTTGGTGGTTGCCCCATTGTCCAGATGGATCTTCAGAATCTGGCCTAAGTGATAGGAGGATTATTAGCATTCTCCATTAGCATCATCAGTCCATTCTGGGTGAAAATGAGAAGACAGAAGGCCTTAACTTGCACTGTTGTCTGGCAGAGGAGTGAGCTCTGTGGTCCGCCGTTGTGTTCATCGAGCCACTGGTGATGAGTTTGCTGTGAAGATCATGGAGGTTACAGCTGAGCGATTGAGTCCTGAGCAGCTAGAGGAGGTGCGGGAAGCCACTCGGCGAGAGACGCATATCCTTCGCCAGGTCGCCGGCCACCCCCACATCAGTGAGGCTGCATTCCCTGTTTCTGTTAGCTAACAACCCCTGCCCACACAGCCCATTTCCCCAACATTGCCTCCAGGCCTGTCCTCCTTTCTTCCTGGCTCTATTCTACCTCAGAGAGTGGCCAGCCTTTGGGTCCCTTCTCCCTCCTTTGGTTCTCCTTCCTTCCCAGTAATAGCCCACTGCCACCTCAGGGTGGAAAAGATCCTATAATGTGTATCTGCTTCTTTCCATCTCTGTTTCTCTGCTTTTCTGCCTCTTTTCCCAGTCACTCTCATCGATTCCTACGAGTCTTCTAGCTTCATGTTCCTGGTGTTTGACCTGTGAGTATCTCCCTGCCCCATCTGAGAAGCCTCATTCCCACCGCCATGTGTGTCCCCATTCTTTCAGCTTAGTGGGCTGGAGACTACCCTGCTTACATCTTCCTCTACTCCAGCTAGGGCTCTGTTACCACAAGCTGCGGCTGGCCCATGGCTCTGGTCCTCTCCCTGTGTGCCATGATTAAGGCAAGTTCTTTAAGGATGATAGTGACCAAAAACAGAATTCTTGTGACCCAAGGGGTCCCTCCCAGTTACCCTTTATAAAGGGAAATAAGGTTATAAATTGATCGGTCAGAGAAAAGCTATTTAAGAGGAGAGTGTTCCAACAGTGAATGAACCATTTTTAAAACAGATCCTCACTTAACCACTCACTTGTTGCTTAACCCAGTGCTTTGCTCAGTCTCTGCTCATTTGTTCTCTTTTTGGCCTGCTTGAATCCACTTCAATATGTTTACAGTATGGACTCTGCAGAAATCTGAAAGGAAGTAGAGCAGTCATTATACCACTCTACAACTTTATAGGACAATGACATTGTTTTGAGGATAGACGCAGAATTGGAGTTACAACTTCAATTTTAAAGACATGATAAAAAATTCAAAATTGCAAAATAAAGTCCTAGTCAGTCTTCATGACACTCTTAGCTGAAATTTTGGTCCATGTTCTAAATAGATTCATTTTTAAGAGAGGACCTTTTCTTTCTTTCTTCCTCTCTCCCTTTCTTCCATGAACGCAGGGCAGCCTAACCACTGACCACATTCCCAGACCTTTTTGTATTTTATTTAAAGAGACAAGGTCTTGGTTAAGTTGCTTAGGGCCTTGCTAAGTTGCTGAGGCTGGCTTTAAACTCATGATCCTCCTGTCTCAGCCTCCTGAGCCACTGGGGTTACAGGCATGCACCATTGAGCCTGGCTAAGAGGACTTTTTCAGTTTTAATTATTCTCTAATACTTTACAAGAAGTTACCTATTCTTGCTAAAATGATGCAGTTTGCTCCATTTTGGCATAGTGCAGATATTTCAGCCAGCTCACTGGGCCAAACTGCCTCTGGGATCTGGGTCAATCTCAGAATGATCTCTCTCTAGCACTTTGACTTGTCAGCAGAGGAATCTTATTACTGTAGGCTTTCTTCGTAGTATTTATTTATTTTTTTAGTTGTTGATGGACCTTTTTTTATTTATTTATATGTGGTGCTGAGAATTGAACCCAGTGCCTCACATATGCTAGGCAAGCACTCTACCACTGAGCTATAACCCCGCCCTCTTCCATAGTATTTTATGGGAGCTCTGTTCATTTTCTCAGCCTCCTACTGTGGGGTGCATCTGTCTCCTATGCCCCTCCTGTTCCTTAGGATGCGGAAGGGAGAGCTGTTTGACTATCTCACAGAGAAGGTGGCCCTCTCAGAAAAGGAAACCAGGTAATGGCACAGCCTGCAGCCCCTGGGGTAAACAGGGAGTGGGCAGGGCAGGGAGAAGCAGAGGAGGAGACTGCACCTCCCTCAGGTCCATCATGAGGTCTCTGCTGGAAGCAGTGAGCTTTCTCCATGCCAACAACATTGTGCACCGAGACCTGAAACCCGAGAATATTCTCCTAGATGACAATATGCAGATCCGACTTTCAGATTTTGGGTTCTCCTGCCACTTGGAACCTGGCGAGAAGCTTCGAGGTGAGGGGACCTTGCCCTAAGTGGCTTGGGAGGGAAGGAGACCCAGGCCTGAGGTTGGTTGATTGGCTGAATCTGAGTAGTCAGTCCCAGGTACCAAGGAAATGGAAGTCAGTAAGCATCTGCCAAGCATCCTCTAGGATACAAATGCTGTGTAATTCAGAGTGGGCTTCTTGACCTGGGAGAATGGAGGCAGACAAATGAGTAGATGGGCACACAGCTGGCACACCAAGAAAGTCAGGAGGAAGAAACACTTAATTTATCCCGAGGGATCCAGAGTAGGGATTTCTGGGGTGAATCCTTGTCCCAAAAGGAATGAGGGAGTAGAGACTAGTAGGGCTAAGCAGCATATTTAGGTTCTACAAAAAATAGCACCACAGTGTACTGTGAGAAGCCTGATATGTCCTGGCCACATCAACTACATCAACTTCTCATCTAGGGCCCTGGGACTTAGGCTTACTCAATCTTGATATATTTGTTGTGACATATTAATATAGAAGTAAGAATAAGAAATAGTCCTAGTGCAAATGGAAACTTCAAGCAAAGTTCATCTGCAAGAATCCTCAGACCCTTTAATATGCTACTATGTCTCCTTCAATGGCTTTGCACTGGATTATTATTAATAGATAACATATCCTGGACACTTGCCATGAGGCAGGTACACACCAAGCCTTCAACATGACTTATTTCTCTAAATCTTCCAAGAACCCTTGGAAGAGACAAAATGATTTGCCCAAAGTCATTTGGCCAGGATTTAAATTTGGGCAGTTCTCATTCTCTTAATCTGTGGACTTACACTTCTTGCAGATGCTGTGCTTTATTTTCCTCTGGATTTCCAAATACACTTTTCCTCTTTCTGGAATGATTTTTGCCCCTTCACATTATGCCCTCTCCCTTGGCTTGAGTAATTATAATTTCACTGTAAGCTTCCAGGTCAGGTCAGATAAGGTACCCCTGTTGGTTTTTTTGTGTTTGTTTTTTCCTTTTTAAGTAGTACTCGGGGTTGAACCCATGGCCTCACACATGCCAGGAAAATGCTCTACCACTGAGCTACATCATGTACCCAGTGTACTCCATTTTTCTTATATATACTCCTTTCATGATACTTGTCTTACTTGTCTTACTCTATTATTCTGAAATAGATGAACTTAGTAAGAAATTCCATATTTTTCCAGGCACGGTGGCACACACCTATAATCCCAGTTGGGGAAGTGGCTCAGAGGTTAAGTGCCCCTGGGTCTGATCCCCAGTATAAAATAAAAAAATCCATATTTTGCTGGCTGTAGTGACACATGCCTGAGATTACATGCATCAGCAATTCAGAAGGCTGAGGCAGGGGAATCATAATTTTGAGGACAGCTCAGTAACTTGGCAAAATACTGTCTCAAAAAATAAAAATGTTTCCTTGGTATTGCCAAAAAGCAGGGTGGGACTAAAGATGTAGCTCAGTGGTAGAGTGCCCTTGGGTTGAATCCTTAGAACCACACGCAAAAAAAGAAATCCCATATTTCTTCTGCTTGCTCTTCTTGGGTTGAATGGTAGTTCTACTAGCCAGAAGTAAAATTATAATTTGGGGGCAGAAAGGATACAGAAAAAATTTTAGTTTTCCATATATATAAACTATGTCAAAATGTGGTAACATGTTGTTTGACGAGTAGGTAGGTTGACTTGGCTAGAATGTTGAAGGAGGAAAATGATATGGGTGGGTAGGACCTTGAAGTCAGTTCCCAAATCAGGTTTTCTTAGCAAGGTTACCAGGAGTCTTGGTGGGCTATTTAGGCAGTGTCTAGTTCTGAGGTTTAGTAGGAAGCAGGCAGGAACAGAATGGGAACACTGCTAGCTCCAGCAGAGATCTGGTATTAAGGGCCTTGGAGGGAGCTAGTGGCATCCCTTCAATCTGCTGTCTCTTCACAGAGTTGTGTGGGACTCCAGGGTATCTGGCACCAGAGATCCTTAAATGTTCCATGGATGAAACCCATCCTGGCTATGGCAAGGAGGTTGACCTGTGAGTGTCTCGTCTTCCCTTCCCCTGTGTACTGTCCTTCACATTGCCTTTTACCTAGACCTACCTGATTCTGGTCTCTTTCTCAGCTGGGCCTGTGGGGTGATCTTGTTCACACTCCTGGCTGGCTCGCCACCATTCTGGCATCGGCGCCAGATCCTGATGTTACGCATGATCATGGAGGGCCAATATCGATTTAGTTCACCTGAGTGGGATGACCGTTCAAACACCGTCAAAGATCTGGTGAGCTGGGGCTATGAGAGGACAATGGGGAAGCCTTAAGATTTGCCCTTCATGTTCTGGGGTTTCCTCTAGATCTCAAGACTGCTAAAGGTGAATCCTGAGGAGCGCCTGACAGCTGAGCAGGCCTTGCAGCACCCCTTCTTTGAGCGCTGTGAAGGCAGCCAATCCTGGAATCTTACACCCCGCCAGCGGTTCCGGGTAAGCCTGAGACTATCAGGGTCTGCACCTGTGCCTGACCTGTGACCTTTCCTGTGAGGGATGCTCCACTAGAATTCACACTGCCCTCATTCCCCAGGTGGCAGTGTGGACAGTGCTGGCTGCTGGACGAGTGGCCTTAAGCTCACACCGAGTACGGCCATTGACCAAGAGTGCGTTGTTGAGGGATCCCTATGCACTGCGGCCAGTGCGACGCCTCATTGACAACTGTGCCTTCCGGCTCTACGGGCACTGGGTAAAGAAGGGCGAGCAGCAGAACCGGGCAGCTCTCTTCCAGCACCGGCCCCCTGGGCCTTTTCCCCTCATGGGCACTGAAGAGGAGGGAAACACCACTGCTATCACTGAGGATGAGACGGCACTGGTGCAGGGCTAGGACCTTAGCCCTGGGCAGCCTCAGAAAGCAGGATTTTCAAGGAGACTTTTATCATTCCAGCCCCTCTGGGCTCTGACCTCAGGCTCCCCTGCCTAGCAAAGTGCACCACTGATCATGCCACTGTTGTAGAGACCAGCCCTGTGTACCTACTCTCATTGGCTTAGGGCTTAAAATCAAAGCTCGGGTGGAAGGGGAGCCATTCTGAATGCCATGCCTGGCCTTGTCAGTACTGCTTGTGCTGCATCTGAAATAAAATCTGCTCCATGCTAGGAAGATCATGTGCCCCATGTCTGTTGTCTGGCTTCAGCCCAGAAGGTGCTCAGGATGGTGGCCCAGGCTTTTATTGGGAAAAATGTTGGAGATCACTTAGTCTTGTTCTTGTTTTTGCTTGGAGGTAGCTGGTGAGGCCGCTCTAGAGCACTCAACTTGGTGCTCAGCCTCTCCTCACTGGCCTTGAGGCGCTCTTCCACCAGCTGCTGGAGCTGCCCCAGCTCCTTATTAAGTTGAGTCTTGATGTAGGTTCGGAGGACACAGACTTGGGCTGCACAGAAGGAAGGGGCAGGTCAGGAGAGTTGCATTCTGAGAATAACAGAGTGTCCCTTGCTGAGTGGACATAATCCCATGGTGCCCCCCATACAGATGGCAATGTTATTTACTTCAGTCTAGGAAATATCAACCAGCCCTTTTGGAGAGACTGTTGGGCAGATTAGGCAGAGTAGCTATGTTGGGCTTTTCTGGATTAAAATTCTGAATACAAATTAGTAGCTACATAGCTTTAGGTAGGTTGACCTTTCCATGCCTCAGTTTCCTTGTGTAAAATGTAGATATTGCTGGGCACAGTGGCACATGGCTGTAGTCTCAGCTACTCAGGAGGCTGAGGCAGGAGAATTGCAAGTTAGAGGCCAGCCTCAGCAACATAAAATTCTGTCATAAAATAAAATTAAAAGGGTAGAGCACTTGCCTAGCATGCACAAAGCCTTGAGTTCTGGGTTCAATCCCTAGTACTGAAAAACTAAAAAAGTAGATAGTAATAACACCTAGGCAAGAGAGACTACGTGAGTTAATATACAGAAAAAGTCTTAAAACAAGACATCCTTTGGTGGTACACAGTATTGCCAAAGCTCTGCATTCTATTATTGTTTTTCTAATCTTTCTAGAGCTACCTCTTTTGCCACCCCCACCTTCCCTAGCAGTTTTGCTCTTACTAATTCGACTTGGACTGCATAAGGAATCTTCTAGAAAGTGGACCATGACTAAAACTAGAAGTCTGAAGTCCTGATGTGGTCTACAATCTTCATTCAGAAATCACAAGGCACCCTAAACCCTCCAGGTGCTCACATGGCTCTTGCTCTGGCTGGGCCATTATCTCCAGTTCTTCCTCCTGTGGGGTGAGTGCCTGCTCCTCTGCCTCCTCACCTTCTTTCTCTGCAAGCCAGAAGCAAGAAGAGGCCTTAGACTCTACAGTGGGCTTGGCCCGTCCCTGCCCTGGCCCTGGCCCTCTTTGGTACCCATCTTACCCTTTGGCCGGGGCTTGGGTGGCTGTAGCCCCATGTAAGTCAAAGATAGATCCAGCCGTACCTGAGAAGAGAAAGAACAAGACTAAGAAAAAGGCACCTGCATTGAGAGAAAGGGGAAGATGAGGAGCAGTTTCTTGCCACCCACATCACAGTACCTGGGGTGTGAACACATATTTGTAGAGTTTGAAGTGGCGGAAGTAGGTGTTGACCACGTAGTCTGCCAGGGCCAGCAGCTGTTCCTCCTTAAAGAGGTCAATGCTGAATGGAGGCCGCTGTGGTGATGACTGGGAGTTAGAGCACTGACAGCCTCCAGAAGCCCAGGCCCTTAAGCTATCTAGGTTCAGGGAGAGCCCACTGAGTTCTTTAGAGAAAGATGAGGGTAATATTGGGAGAGAGGGTAGAAAATTGGGCTAGACCTTGTCTTGGGGATAATGATAGTTCTGCCCTCAGATACTGACCCTGACTCCATGGCAGAAAAGAACACTGGTAAAGTAGCGGTAGCATTCCTCCACGTTGCCCAAGGGTGTTGCTGGTAGGGAAAGCAGGGTATGGCAGTGAGGCCCTTCCTGCTATCCATCCCTCCAGTTCACTGCCTACTTAAGGAACACAAGCTTCAGAGGTGGACAGATCTAGGTTTAAGTCTTTGTTCGTTTCCTTAATTCACACAGCAAATACTGAATCCTCAGTATGTGATGTTGTAGGCACTGAATAAGACAGACAAGGTCCTGCCATCAGGAAGCTTATATTCTAGTGGAAGTAACATACAATAATCCAAGAAATAAATAATTTCAGTTATTAAATATTCTGAAGAAATCAGAATAAGGATGGGGAATAAAAGGGTGTGGGGGGAAATGCAGAAGTTATTTATTGAACACTGTGCATGTATTTGCATATATTATTTCTCAGTCTCACATAACATTAGTGCTCTGTCTTTAAATTACTGGCAAAGAAACAAGATTTCAAAGATGATAACTGGTATGCTAGTACTGGTACTGCTATCAGTGAAGAAACCAAGATTCCAGGTGGTAATCTCCCTACTCCTGCTTCCAGAGTCAATTGTCCCAGGCCAGTCTCCCCCTCTCCCTGGGCTCAAACCTTCTGGTAGCCACTGCTGTCTCACCAGCACAGGCCTTGTGAAGATCTTGGAGCAGGGCACATGCCACTGATGTCTGCTCCAGTGAGAAGCCCTGCTGGCGACAGAAGATGAGCGCGTGGGAATAAAGGTCCAGGGTGATGGCATCCTGCAGGTTCTGCTCAGGACAGCCAATCTTCAACAGCTCAGCCAGAACTCTTAGGAAGAAGAAAGGAGTGAGTGACGATAGAAGCCTTGTTTCACCACCCTACACTCGCCATGTTTGGAGCCAGCCATTCCTCATGTCTTCCTCCCCAAGAGCTCTTCCCCTCCTTGCTCAGTCCCATACTCCCTCATCTCCTCAATGTTGTCAGTCTTCTCCAGCCGGTGCATGGAATGGATGTCCAGGAATTTCCTATCACAGGAAAAGGGGAAACAGTATTTATGATTGGTACATATTAGATTCATGATGGGGCTGACTGCTCAGGAGATCTGAGTTTGAGGCTTGGCACTTTGACTGACTTTTGTAACCTTTGGCAAGTAACTTACCTCTGTGGGCCTTGTTTCCTCCATCTGTAAATGAGGAGTATGGCCTACATGAACTTTTATGATCCTCTCAATGAGTTCTTGTCTTTGTTCTTCCACTACCTTGCTATATGATCTTGGTTAAATGCCCCTGTGATCTTCAGTAGCCCCATTTGTACAATGTTCCATGGAAGCTATGATACTCCTTTTACATCCTCACTCTTGGCTCCCATCTCACACTCTCTCTTTGGACTAGGGGACCTGGAAAGGTGGCTTATACACACCTTGAGTAATGCATGTGTGAGCCTCAGTCTCCTTATCTGTAAAATGGGGATGTTCTGGGGCTGGGACTGTAGAGCACCGGCCTGGCACGTGTAAGGCACTGGGTTTGATCCTCAGCACCACATAAAAATAAAGATATTGTGTCGAACTGCAACTAAAAAAATATTTTTAAAAAATGGGGATGTCCTGGTTGGGAAACACTAAAAGAACAATATAAGTATGAAGTGTAACTTTCCCCCAAGGCTTTTCACTCACCACATGCAGATCCGGGGCTGGGGCAGTGGCGGCTGCGGAGAGAAAGTGCATTGGGGAAGGAAGAGCTGTGTTGTATCTGGCCCTTAGTCCCTGGTCCGCCGTCAATCTCCAGTGGGGCTGAGAACGTGCTATAATTTGCCTTCTCATCTCTAGGTCTATGTAGAGCAATGTGGTCACGGCTGGACTTAAGCAGGTCCTAAGTACTATTTGTGAAATTATTAACAATCTGGGCTACACATCCTCTACCTCTCTTCCTCAAAGAATCAAGGGAAACGTCCCGAACGTCAGGGAACGTAATGACGGGTGACGCCCCGTGGGAAAACCATTTATACATATTCATAAGCGGACCACTTTGTCCCACCCTCACCGGGAACAAGTTGGCTCCAGGATCATCTTCTGCTTCCATAGAGGTCGAGCCCAGTGTAGCTGAATCGGTCCGCACACCTGTTCCCATCATGGCCGATCCATCCGCTGAACTGAGATCCTTCTCCAGTTCCCGCCGCAGTTCAGAGGGCTGTTCAAGCTCCGACTGCACCTTCACTCCCAGGTACTGGCTGGACTTAAGGCTGGTCATCTCTTCGAAGTCTCGAGTCACCACCAGCTCTCTCCCACCTGGGTTTCGGAAACAACCTATTCTCTAGCAGCGACTGCCAAGGTCTGACCCTCTAGCGATTTTCCAGCCACTGTACGCGGCAGCTAGGCCGGTGTAGCCAATCCGCTGGGCCAGGAAGGCGTCTTCCGGGTCTCCACGGTGACCGTTGCTAAGAGGCTTGTGAGAGAAAAGTAGAAAGTGCAGGCTCACGCAAATCAGCGAGAGGAGAATGCGCATGCGTGATAAGCTGCAAGATATTTCCCCCTGTTTATCCCCTTGAAAGTTCCTAATAGAAGGGCTTGCACTGTCCTCTGGACAGGAAAGTGGGAGTTCGGTGTCAGTTGCCATGGGAACTGTCTATTGGCCAATTACCCAGAGAAAGAGGAGGTGTTCAGGAAAAAATCAAATGATCCGAGAGGCGGGACAAGCGCGACGGAGAAAAACAGGAAATGAAGACGCTTCGCCACATCCGGTGTTGTCTCTAGCGCCTGCGCCCTATGTGGGAGGGCCAGTGACGTCCGGTGAAATCCAAGATGGCGGCGCTAGGCTGACCCTGCTGTCGGTGAAGGCCCGGGCTGGCGGGGGCGGGATCTTTCAGGTGTGTGCAGGTGACCTCTCGGGGCTGTGGAGCATCGGCCGCTGCCACATCTCTGCTCTGTCTTCTTCAGGTGACCGAAGTGCCGCCCTCTCCTGCGACCCTCGGGGGACCCTACGGCGCTCCTCGCCGCCGCAGCTATGTCTGGGCCCGGCAACAAACGCGCCGCCGGCGACGGGGGCTCAGGGCCTCCAGAGAAGAAGCTGAGCCGCGAGGAGAAGACCACAACTACTCTTATCGAACCCATTCGGCTTGGGGGCATCTCCTCCACGGTTCGTGGTCTTTTGCCCTAGTCTTCAGAACTTAGCTACCCCTCCTATCTCTGGTGTCCGCCCAAACCGTCAAGAATCTTAGTGCCAGGTCCCCAAGCTTAGAAAGCTTCACTATAAAGTGTTATAAAACACTTCTTCTTGTAGGAAACCAAGAGCACGACATCTGCCTTCCCCTTGCAGTTACAAAAACAGGTCCCCGAGAGCGTGATTTCTTAAAAAACTTCAGAGTTAGGGAGAGAGGAAGACGCATAACTTGAGCCTTCTCATAACCAGGATGCTTTCTCTGGGAATAGCTGAACCTCTTTAAGTCTTGTTCACAGATATTTTGGGAATACCACCCTTCCATCCATTCCAGTTGCTTTCCTTCTCTGCTTCTGTGATGGTTTCTGAGCCTTGCTTGACACTCTCCTTGGCACTTTTGTTTCCCTTGGCAGGAGGAGATGGACTTGAAGGTTCTGCAGTTCAAGAACAAGAAACTAGCAGAGCGTTTGGAACAGCGACAAGCTTGTGAAGATGAACTTCGAGAACGAATTGAAAAGTTGGAGAAACGTCAGGCCACAGATGATGCCACACTCCTCATTGTCAACCGCTACTGGGCCCAGGTGGGTGCTTTCTGCTTTCTAAGATCTAGCCTTGATTCATTTGCTAATTTTCAAATTATTCTACTGAGAAAAGAGTTTCATGCTGGAAAGCACCTAGGGATTTATAATATTTCTGGTGCTTTCTCCCTTTAGCTAGATGAAATTGTAGAAGCTCTTCTCCGATGTCATGAGAGCCAGAGGGAGCCATCTGCAGGGATGGAGGCACCTGGGACTCAGGAGGGGCCAACACGTGATGTGATTCCTCTCACAGAGCCAGGAACATCAGAGCTGAGAGGTAGGACCAGAGCCCTAGGATCTGTAGAGCTTAACTTTTGGGAAATGTTCTGGAGAGTGGGAGACTTTGATTTGGGGTTCTTAAATTTCCCACCCCATCCATCTCCCCCAAGAAATCGTTTTTATGTTTGGGCAAAACATTGCCATGGGTGAGAACAAAGACTGTAATTTGATGTGGTTTATAGTGCCAGTGTTGATATTCATCAAGTCCAAAAAACACTGAGTGTTAACTAAGTACTTAACGCTGTTTTGGATTAGAAGGAATCAGAAACAAGCAGAAATAAATACTGTTCCTGTTGTCGTGGAGGAAATTACTAAAAGTAATAAGTAAAAACTATTGGGGAGGGCTGGAGTTGTGGCTCAATGGTAGAGTGCCTTGCCTGCACATGCAAGGCCCTGGGGTCCGATCCTCAGCACTATATAAAAATAAGTAAATAAATAAAATAAAGACATTGTGTCTAATTACAACTAAACATTATTATTTTTTTAAATATTTGGTTTAGTTATAGGTGGACACAGTATCTTTATTTTATTTTTATGTTGTGCTGAGGATGGAACCCATGCTTCACCCATGCTAGGCCAGTGCTGTACCTCTGAGCCACAATCCCAGTCCCTAAAAATTAAATATTTTTTAAAAAATTATTGAGGTCCCTGAAAGAGAATAAGTATATGTACACACATATGTATAGTTCTGCTTTAGACTGGGAAGGTAGATGACTTCCCTGAGGAAGTAATTTGGTAGCTCTGTAGCCTTGAGGAAACTACATTAACTTTTTAAACTTCAGTTGTCTTACTGTCAAGTTGGGGATAATAAGATAACTACTAATTGTGTTAATTGAGTGAGTCATGATATATTGAAGGGCTCAGTCTATAACTTGGTACAGATTAGTAGTCATTGCTGCTGTTATTATTCTGATGAGGATCTGTCCGTACTTCCTAGAGCCCCTGCCAATGCAGCTGCGACCCCCTCTCAGTGAGCCAGCTTTGGCTTTTGTGGTGGCACTAGGTGCCAGCAGCAGTGAGGAAGTGGAGCTACAACTTCAGGGCCGAATGGAGTTCTCTAAGGCAGCCGTGTCCCGGGTCGTAGAGGCCTCAGATCGCCTGCAGCGCCGTGTGGAGGAACTGTGTCAGCGAGTATACAGCCGAGGTTAGTCCTACCCTAGAAGTGTCTGTCTCTGCCTACATCTTTATGGTCTCCCCATCCCCTAACTCATTAATGCATTAAGCCCAGAATTCCCCAAGGAATAAATCAGCTATGATTTAGGGGGAAATAGTCTGTAGATGGAGATTCTGTTTGATTCCTGGATGGAAGAGTTGCTAATAGTGCCACCATCTTCCAGCTAGAGACCTATCTAGAGCACTTTGTATAAATTTCAGTGATAGCTATTGATCCACAAGGCAGAGCAATAAGTGCTTAGGCTTTGTAGGTTGGCTGGTTTCTCTCAGCCTTAGTTCTGCTTCGATAGTGAGGCCTTTCTGGGAAAATGGCTCCCCTCTCTGAGCTAGTTTGCTCCTTTGTACAGTGGGGATAAAATCTCTTGGTTTTGCCATGAGAAACTGGCAAGTCACTGGTGGATCACTCTGGGCACATATCAGACTCCAGAATGAGTTAGTACTTTAACCTGTTGCCCTTGAAGCCTGATTCTTACCTGGATCCTGCCTTCCCAGGGGACAGTGAGCCCCCTGGTGAGGCAGCTCGAGCACGCACCCGGGAGCTGGGTCGTGAGAACCGGCGGCTACAGGACTTGGCCACTCAGCTGCAGGAGAAGCACCACCGCATCTCACTGGAGGTGGGAATCAGGCTTTTGGTGGGGGAAGTAGAACCAGGGCAGGGTTTGGATTAGATGGGCACCCAAATATCTCGGGCTTCCAAGTCCCTTTATCCAAGCATCTGTCCCATCCATTGCCCCAGTATTCTGAGCTCCAGGATAAAGTGACATCAGCAGAGACTAAGGTGCTAGAGATGGAGACGACAGTGGAAGACTTACAGTGGGACATTGAGAAGCTACGTAAGCGGGAGCAAAAGCTCAATAAGCACTTGGCAGAGGCATTGGAGCAGGTGAGGCTGAAGTGCTGGGGAAGATGGAACCAGGCTCGGGTACTTGGGACCCTGGCTTCTGCCCTTCATATCTATCACCTGTCTCCTCTCTGCAGCTCAACTCTGGCTATTATGTGTCTGGGAGCTCCTCAGGCTTCCAAGGGGGCCAGATCACACTCAGCATGCAGAAGGTGAGCAACATCATTCTTCCCAGTCCCTCTGTCCCTCCCTTAAAATTTCCCTCAGGACCAAAGGCAAATGTCTACCTCATAGCCCCTTCCCTGTCACTCTTGGAGCTCTTTCTTTCACTCATTTATCTACTTATTTAGTAAATAATTACAGAGAACTAAGTGCTAAGTACTAGGTAGATTGGAAAGAGAAAAATATCAATACTTCGTTGGAGCTTGGGTTATAGCTGGGGAGTATACAAATTAATGAAATAGTACATCAGTTGGTTATCAAGTACCACAAAGGAAAAGCACAGAAAGAAATAAATGGGGTTATATAGAGTCCCTTAGCATTCTGGGGTCACTGTGCTATTTGCCTTTTGCTTCAGCTGGCTTTTCAGGTCTTCTGGGAATGCTTCCTTGACTCCCTGTCAGTTAAGAACTTTAGCTCCCAATGTTCAGAACTCCATGCAGTATTGAAACCCCACACTTGCTAAGCAAGTGCTCTGCCCCTGAGCCCCAGCCCCAGCCCACAAGTGGGAGATCTTGGGAAAGCCCTTGGTTTAAGGCTTCAGAGTCCCATCAGCGTGCTACACAGGGTGGCTTGGGTAGAGTTTGTTGTTGTGGGTGAGAGGAACATGCTGCCTGTCGTGGCCCTGCCTACCACAGCCCCTCCCACTCCATAGTTTGAGATGTTGAATGCAGAATTGGAGGAAAACCAAGAATTGGCCAATAGCCGCATGGCAGAGTTGGAGAAGCTGCAGATGGAACTTCAGGGTGCTGTGAGGACCAATGAACGCCTCAAGGTGGGCTGTGGTTGGGGCTGAGAGGGCCTGGGCCTGCAAGATAGGAACTGAACCCTAAGCCTATTGATTGCCATTTGGGCATCACTTCTCCTAGGTGGCCCTTCGGAGCCTTCCTGAGGAGGTGGTACGGGAGACAGGGGAGTACCGCATGCTGCAGGCCCAGTTCTCACTACTTTATAACGAATCTCTACAAGTGAAGACCCAGCTGGATGAGGCCCGGGGGCTGCTGCTGGCCACCAAGAACTCCCACTTGAGACACATTGAGCATATGGAGGTATGGCGTTTAGAGTGAGGGCCAAGTCCATAATGTTGAGACATTCCTGAGTTTCTGAAGCCCGATGTACCTGCCAAGGGTCCCTTGGAAAAAAATTCTAAGGCACCAAGGCCTAAGGTGGGACTGAGGGGTTCTATGGGTCTTTACACCTCAATCTACAGAGTGATGAGCTGGGACTGCAGAAGAAGCTGCGCACAGAGGTTATTCAGCTAGAAGACACCTTGGCCCAGGTTCGGAAGGAGTACGAGATGTTGCGCATCGAGTTTGAACAGAACCTGGCAGCCAATGAGCAGGCGGGTATGTGGTGGGATTGGGTGGAGCGGGGGACCTTATCTGGGGTGCTGGGTCCTGCTGGGGCTGCTGCCATTCAGATGCAGGAAACAGAGCTATTTCTTTTTGTAGAGACTCATTTTCCTCTGGGAAAAAGGACTATACTACCTGGTTCTTAGGCATGGTGAGGGTTGCATTCAGTTGAGGTGGCTGACAGAGCAAGAACGTGAACTATTGGCTCCATCTATTTCTCTGATCTTCTGGTGTGTCTATCAGAAATTTGTTTTATAGACATTTATAGAATACCACCTGTAAACCAGGCTGTGTTCTAGGTTTTGGGGTTGGTAGTGAATGAGGCACAAAGAATTGCTGCCATTATGGAATAGTGTTGCAGTAATGGGGAGACAGATGATAGGGAAGGGATAAAGTGTGTATATCAAATAGTGATGAAGATACCAAGAAAAGTGAAGCAGGAAAGGGAGATAGGAAATATCAGGAGAAAGAGCATACAGCTTGGAGTGGGGATCAAGAGAAAGTGCATACAGCTTGCAGTGGGGATATCAAGCAGATGTCACCTAGGAGGACATTTGTATAAGTATCTAGTGAGTATCTAGTGAGTGTTAGATGTCTGTTCCATACAGGGAAATATGGAGGTATTTAAAAGAAAAAAAATCAAGTCTACATTAGTTACTTAGGTGGAAGTCACACTCTAGGCCTGTTTCCCCTCCTGCACAGCAAGAGTATTGGTTCTGGGTCAGCTTCTTTTCCCACTGAAGGGTTAGGGTAATATAGGGACCACTCCAACACCCTTACTTTCCCAACCCTCCCCCAGGGCCCATTAATCGTGAGATGCGTCACCTGATTAGCAGTCTCCAAAATCACAATCACCAACTAAAAGGGGATGCCCAGCGATATAAGCGGAAGCTTCGGGAAGTACAGGCTGAAATTGGCAAGGTGAGGAAGGGACTGCCTGGGAAAAGCTTTGGCTGGACCCCAGTAAGCATTGGCTCACCTCATTCCTCTTCCTCTCTGTCTTGGCAGCTCCGGGCCCAGGCTAGTGGCTCAACCCACTCCATCCCCAACCTGGGCCATCCAGAGGACTCTGGCCTCAGTGCCCCAACCCCGGGGAAAGAAGAGGGTGGGCCAGGTCCTGTTGGTACCCCTGATAGCAGAAAGGAGATGACGTCAGTCTCTGGTGCCACCACTACTACCTCCTCAGTGAAGAAGGAGGAGCTGGTCCCCTCCGAAGAGGATGCACAGGCCCTAACCCCAGGGGCCCAGGGCCCCTCCTCCCGGGGCCGAGAACCTGAAGCCAGGCCCAAGCGGGAACTTCGGGAACGGGAAGGGTCTGGCCTAGGACCACCACCTGTAGCCTCAGGTCTCTCAAGGGTGGATCGAGAAAAGGCCAAGATGGAAGAAGCCAAGAGGAAGGAGTCAGAGCTGCTGAAGGGTCTCCGAGCAGAGCTCAAGTGAGGCCCTATTGCTCTCTCCTTTTATCCCAGTGACCTAAAGCTCTACTTACCAAGCCTTCCTCCTACATCCTTCCCCAGGAAGGCCCAGGAAAGCCAGAAGGAAATGAAGCTGCTGCTAGACATGTACAAGTCGGCACCCAAGGAGCAGCGGGATAAGGTGCAGCTTATGGCAGCTGAACGCAAGGCCAAGGCTGAGGTGAGGGCAGGTAGGGCTTGTGGGGCATGCAGGGAGGCTTAGCCCAGAGGCTGGTGACCAGAGACGTAGGTCAGCAGAAAGCAGTGACAGCTCCCTTCTGTGGCTGTAGGTTGATGAGCTACGGAGCCGCATTCGGGAACTGGAAGAAAGGGATCGAAGGGAGAGCAAGAAGATTGCAGATGAGGACGCCCTGAGGCGCATTCGGCAGGCTGAGGAACAGATCGAACACCTACAGCGCAAATTGGGTGCCACCAAACAGGTATAAGCCCCCTTGCTTCTGATACTGGGATTCTCTTAGCCCTTTGTTGGATGCCTCTAGCTGATGTGACACCTTGATGGCCCATGCCATCTCCACTTTGATTCTTGGCTTGGCATGTTTTCTTGTGATTCTCCTCCCCCCCACCCGCCAAGGCCATCTGTCCACCTAGCACTTTCCATATTGTCCCTACCCACTGGCTACAGGAGGAAGAGGCTCTGCTGTCAGAGATGGATGTGACAGGTCAGGCTTTTGAGGACATGCAGGAGCAGAACGGGCGACTGCTACAGCAATTGCGGGAAAAGGATGATGCCAACTTTAAGCTGATGTCAGAGCGGATCAAGGCCAACCAGATTCACAAGCTGCTTCGGGAGGAGAAGGATGAGCTGGGCGAGCAGGTTCTTGGCCTCAAGTCCCAGGTATGGCTGGCCCAGGGTGGAGCTTGCAGGGAGGAGCCCTAGAGGCAGGGCTCCTAGCACTTAATCCACCTCTCCCCCGCCCCACCTCAGGTTGATGCCCAGCTGCTGACCGTGCAGAAACTGGAGGAAAAAGAGCGGGCCTTACAGGGCAGCCTAGGGGGTGTGGAGAAGGAGCTGACTCTGCGCAGCCAGGCCCTAGAGCTCAACAAGAGAAAGGTGAGGCTGGGCCTGTAGGGAGTCTACCGAGGCCTCTGGCCCCATCATTCCTGATTTTACTTAGAGAATCTGATGCAGGTGGCCTGGGGCAAATTCCTTGGCTCTGTCTCTTCCCATAGGGATAGCTCACAAGTATCAAAGATTTACTGTGTGCCAGATTCTGTGCTTGATGTGTGGTCACATTTCAGTCACAAAACCTACCAGAATGGTTTTTGTTATCATCCCCATCCCCCTGAATCTGAGGTTCAGGAGGTCAAATTGACTTGCTTAAGAAAGTAGAAGGGCTGGGGTTATGGCTTAGTGGTAAAGCGCCTGCTTAGAACAAATGAGGCACTGGGTTCAATCCTCAGAACCACATAAAAATAAATAAAAGTGTTGAAACCATCTACAACTAAAAAAAATTTAAAAGAAAAAAGAGGGGAGCTGGGGTTGGGATCCAGGTTTTGGCTTCATGATCCACATAATCACTCACTGGATAACTTGTCAATTGGGGATGGTGGTTTTTGTTGTTGTTGTTGTTGTTTGCACAGCTAGGAATTGAACCCCTGGGGCCTTGCACCTGCTAGGCAAGCACTCTACCACTGAGCTACATACCCAGCCCAGGGATGGTGGTCTAGTTTTATTAAACATAAGAACCATCTAGTTTATACTAAAGGTGTAACATTGATTTTTTTAAAAAATTATTTATTTATTTATTAATCTTTCGTGTGACCTTTTCCCTTACCCTGGGGATTGAACCCAGGGCCTTGTGCATGCAAGGCAAAAACACTACCAACTGAGCTATATACCAGCCCTGTAACATTGATTTTCATCCTGTTTTCCCTATTGCTTTACCTTCTTTTCTAGTTAATTCCTTTCATAAAAAGGTTGTTGTTTTTTTTTTTTTTTTTTTTTCCTATTCTATAAATTCTGGTACTTTATTGTTATTTTGGCAAACCTTAGTTCTGGGAGTTGTTTTTTTTTTTTTTTTTTAATGCCTCTGTTGTCTTGTGCTGACCACTGCAGAGACTGGGAATGAGCCCTGCCATTCAGTCTCAGTCAAGGCTGGAACTAATGAGGGGTAGATAGCAAGCCAGTAAACAATAAAATAGTGCCAGTTCAGAGCACACTAAGTTTTATGAAGGAAACTCAGGTGGTGTGAAAGAATAGCAGGGAACCCCCACAAAAGGTGACATTCGGAACTGAGTCCTGAAGGAGTTGCTTGTGTGTTGAGGGGAGTTCAGGGAAACTGAAGAGCCTGGTGAGGGCTCAGAGAACAGAGAGAGCATCTTGTAGGTGAGGAACAATGTTGGGAATGAGAGGGAGAGGAGGAGGTGAGGCTGAGGGTCAGGAATTGGGACCAACTCCAGTGCAGATATCACTGAAATGTTTGACACAAATATTGGTGGAACACAACTCCCTAGGCTCATGCAAAAGGTCTCTCCTTCCTTTCCCACCCACTTAAGGCTGTGGAAGCGGCCCAGCTAGCTGAGGACCTAAAGGTGCAGCTGGAGCATGTGCAGACTCGGCTGAGAGAGATCCAGCCATGCCTTGCAGAGAGCAGGGCTGCTCGCGAGAAAGAGAGCTTCAACCTCAAGAGGGCTCAGGTGTGTGCCTTGGAGAAGGCGGGTGGGCAAGGGTCCCCAGTTGGACTATGAAGCACACAGTTCAAGGGTGAAGACCCTTTCCCTTAGCCTAGCCTCTCTGCTGCTTCAGGAGGACATCTCACGGCTGCGACGCAAGCTAGAAAAACAGAGGAAGGTGGAGGTGTATGCAGATGCTGATGAAATCCTTCAGGAGGAGATCAAGGAGTACAAGGTGCGGCTGTGGGGCTGACTTGTGCCCCTTCAACTCAGGAATTTTACATGAGGGGTTGGAGATAGTTGTAGTGAGTAGTCTGGGGACCCTAGAAATGAGGTAGGATGGCAACAAAACAAAACTGTCCACTGATTATGAAGTCAGACAGTTGGCATGAGTATTTGTTGGACACATGCCATGTGCCAGGTACAGTGCCTAAGGAGGTGGGGGATGGTAGGGTTTAGACCTCTTGAGATAGACCTATGGGGACAATTATTCCTTTTGGCCCAGTGATGAGTAATGTGATGACAGAAGCCAGAGAGGCCATGGGAACTCTAGGGAAGCCCTTGAAGGTCCTGGAGGTCAGTGGACTTCCTGGAAGGAATGTCACCCAAGGAAGACCTGAAGAGTGAGTTAATTATGGAGGGATAGAGATGAAAGGGCTCAGGCAAAAGCAAAGGCAAATGTGGAAGCCTCCAGATGAGAGAGGTGTGTTGGACAGACAGAGCTAGCCAGTGTGGTTGGAGGAAAGAGAATGGAGAGGTTAGGCAGTGGCAGATCCCAAAGGGTGTGGGAGTTGGGGTGAGCAGCTTGGCCTACATGAAGATAGTGTAGAGACATTGAAGGGGTTTTTTTTGGCAAGGGGTGGGGAGTGCTAGGGATAGAAACCACAGCCTTTTGCAGGGCCTTTAAAATATACACTGCCTCTGAACTACACCCCCAGCCCCATAAAAGTTTTTTTTTTATTTTTAATATTTTGTTTTAGTTATAGTTGGACACAATACCTTTATTCTTATTTTATTTTTTATGTGCTGCTGAGGATAGAACCCAGCACTCGCACATGCTAGGCGAGCACTCTACTGCTGAGCCACAACCCCAGCCCCCATAAAAGGGTTTTAAACAGGAGAGTGACATGGTCATATTTGCTGTTGGATTTGTACTGGAAGAGGTAAAGGCTAAAGGCACCAAGATTGTTAGGTTATGGCAGTCACTGAGGCAAGAACTTCTATTTAGCTAGCTTAAGGTATTGTTTACTATAGATGGGTTCAGGAGATATTTAGGGAATAGAATTGTTTGGATGCAGGGATAGATAGAATGCATAGTGTCTGAGAAAGGGAAATACTGGGAAGACTCTTGATTTGAGAAAATAGTCATGTGTGGGTCACATATGATTGTGGTCACTCAGTAAGGATTTGTGGCATAAGTAGAGAAAAGAGTCATTCTCAGGAACCTGGAAGCTTAAGTGATGGGCAGATGAGAAAGCCTGAATGTTGGGAGGAAGGAAAGTGATGGGGAGTTGATGGATGAACCAAGCCATGAGAAATGCCACTGGGACTTGGTGATCTGGGAGGGAAGATTTTTGGGGCAAGGGTGAGAGTCAAGCCACTAGAGTTAAGAGAGTATAGGGGTGAATCAAAATCAGACAACTCTTACATTTGGACCTGGAAGGGGTAGGGATAGCTGATGTAGACTTGGGAACCTGTTCAGGGCTGATGGCTGAGAAATTTGAGGCTGCTTGCTGGTATTCCAAGAGTGCTGGCAAGGCTGAGTCAGGGCAGTTCTTGTCTGGAGTTGAAGGTGAGACCCTCCTAGTGGCAGATAGGAGGTCTCAGGCTAAGAGAAAACCCACAGCAGCATCTCTGGGTTGCACCAGTGCTAGGCCCATTTGAGACAGAGATAGCACATTTCTAGTGGCACTGCCATGCCCGGATGTGACAGTAGGTACAGTTGAAGAGAAGGTAGACAGGATTGGGATTTTGTCAGAGGAAGCCAGTAGGACAAGAGAAGCCCAAGTGGAAGAGGCCAGGCTGGGGCTTTGGATCCTTGTCCTTGGGAGAATCCAGACTCCGCTACTTTAGATTTGAGATGTTGGCTTCTGAGCCTCAGTTTCTGCATTCATAGAGTACTCATTACTCATTCCACTTCCAGGGTTTTAGTGAGGATTATATTCATCTGCTGTTTGGGCTTAGCCTGAACCAATTCCTACTATGAACCACTTCCTGCTGTCAGTTTAGGGTCTGGGCATCAGCAGTTATTCCAAAGCTGATGACTTTGCCTGGTCCAGGCGCGGTTGACCTGTCCCTGCTGTAACACCCGCAAGAAGGATGCAGTCCTTACCAAGTGCTTCCACGTTTTCTGCTTCGAGTGCGTGCGGGGCCGCTATGAGGCCCGCCAGAGGAAGTGCCCCAAGTGCAACGCAGCTTTTGGTGCCCATGACTTCCATCGTGTCTACATCAGCTGAACCTGAATCTCAGGGGACTTTGGAACACCCGCGGACCCTGGGGGCTGTGCCCCCAGCCCTTCCCCACCCAGGTGCAGTGGCCCCGCCCTTCATTCCAGACCCCATGGGCCCAGCCCCTGCTCACCTAGTTGGTTTAGGGTCCTGGTGCATGCTATGGGAGTGGGGATGTTCCCCAGGCTTTGACCACCCACCAAGAGAAGGCTCACTGTCTACCTACACACCCACAATAAGGACCAGAGATGGGCCAATCCTCAGCCCCTTGCTTGAGACTAGGACATAGGCCCCAGGGAGACTTTCTTCACCTATCAACCCCTAGCCTGGGCAGGGCTTTTGTCCTTCCTGTGGAGTTCTCTGGATACTGGTCTGGCTCTTGTGCCACAGGCTGAAGCTACCCCTGGGCAACTACCCTCTTCCTCTGGGAAGCTCTACAGTTGCTGCAGTCACTACCCTCCTCTTGGGAGTGCTGAACCAAGATCATCAATTTCTATTCTAATCAAGCCCTTCCCAATCTCTACTTGTCTCCCAGCCCACTTACCCCAACCTCAGGCATCCATCCCATGGTCCACTGGGTCCTTGGCTCTAACTGTGCTTTCATCCTGGTGGCCTTAAATGCAATGGAATTCCTTCCCAGAGGGGAAGGAATAGACCAGCCCCAGCCACTGAGCCAACTTCCAATCATTCCAGGTAGAAAAGCTTTGCCCAAAACACTCTGTGACAGCACCCAGAGGGGCCTGGGAGGTGGAGCTGCCCACAGGTGCAGAGACCTATTTGGTTGCAGCCTCTGCTCTAGAGATATCTTATATAGGCTGTTAACTTGTTATGAATAAACGTCCAGCCCTCCGCCTACAGTCAGTACCAGACCTCTTGCCCCAAACGTAGTCCATTTTTAGCTGCTACTTGTTGGGCATCTCCCTGACTTGCTTTGACCTGGGGAGGGAAGGGTAGCGCTTATAGGAGAGCCCATTTCTGCCCACCCCGAAGGCTGTTATGCATAACAGCAGCCAGGGATCCCAACTGTGCCTTGGCGGGGCACAGCTCTAGGTTACTCTAGTCAACTGATGATACTGCTCTCATTGGGAGGCTGCCGGCCCTTTGAGGTCCATACTGGTCCCACCTCCGACAGTCATTGGCCATTGGGATGCTGGGAGGTCTCGAGCTGCATCTTGGGAAATGAAGTCCCATGTTCTTACCTAACAAGAATATTCTAAACGCAAGGAGAGAACCGGGTTGTTCAGCCCAAAGGTTGAACGTGAACCCAAATCTGCTGGCTGTCCCTCCACGGCTTCACCCGTCCCTCCCCTATGGACGCACAGATCGGGACACATCAGCAGGGTGACTTCCTTCATTGCGACCTGCTTGGGCCGCTGACCGGGTCCTCTGGGTTACCCAGCATTGTTTCTGGGTTCAGCTCGCTGTCTGCCTCTCGGGCGGGGCCCTTACAGGTCTAGAGCCAAGGCCGGTGCTGAGTGGAGTTGGGGTTGGTTCCGGAGTAGCAGTCCCAGCCGTGGCTATGGTTGCAGTTGCGCCTTCTCGGGACCCCGCAGCCTTGCCAGCCAGCGCGCCTTCGCGGGGATTCGCGCCCTTGTCGGCTTTCGGAGTCCACCTGGGGCTTAGAGTTTCGGGGGGGCCACAGCGGCCGAACCAAATCGGACTGGAGACGGACATGCGGGCTACGAAGATTTCGGGTGTGGGGCTGGTAGCGATGGGCATACTCATGGGCATACTCGCTGAGGCACGGGCCGCGGCTGGCGATGACATCGGGGCCGCCGCCGAGGAAGTGTCCCAGGCCGGTGTGCAGTGGGGCGGGGCGGGGATGACGGGCTCAGGGTATTACATCATAGAGATGCGGGCATCTGCGCTGGATGAGAGGACCAGCATCGGAGAGGAGCCTGTTGCCTGGGCGCAGGTGGAGACCAGCCTGTCTTTTGCGAGCACGATCCTCTCAGGAGTCACCTCCGCATGGGCGCCTTAAGTAAAATCAAGTAACTAAATATTATCTCTAGATATTTTCCCTAAAAGCTAGTCTCCATATTGGAAGGAAGTGCTAAAAACTTTGAGACTCTTCATACCTAAATAGTAAAGTAGGACTCAAAACACTTTCTCAAGTTCAAACCAAAGGGAATGGATTAAAGGTCCTAGAATCTCACTGTGAGGAGAACGCATTGATGGCAGTGACAGAAACTCTCAATAAGCCATAATTTATCATGAGCGTGCCAGGTGCAGGCAGGGTCTATCTTAATGGCTAATCTTGACCAGCTTACTACCGGCAGTAGCTCCCCTAGTCTCAGTGACTGTGGTACCTAGGGATGGGAAGGCCAGAACTCTTCTTTGGCCAACCCTGACTTTGGCTGTTCTTTCCTGAATGAACAGATGGCATCAGTGATGGACTAGGGCTACTACCTGCAATTGGCCAGTAGAGCATTTAAAATGGACCACTCCCAGAGCTTCCCTTGGGGCTTGTGACACTGCACTTGCCTGGGTTTCCTCCTACTCATAGTCTTCTGTTGGTCCTCTTTCTCCACCCCTAACCTAGACTCTCATTTCTGCTTTGCTACTCTCCCTAAGTGTATTTATCCATGGCCATGACTACAGTAGAGCTATTAAGACCACCAAATTTTGTTCCTGAGCCTGAAAATAACCATTGTTCATTGGGTGGGAGGGATCATGTCATTCTCAATATCCCACTAGCACACCTTCCCTAGTCATCTCAAACAAGTACTCCACTGTGGCTTCTGCTAATTTTGTGTTCCTTAATTCTCACTCTGCTTTAAGTTCATACTCAACTGTGTGTGTCCTCTATTGCCCATTCCACTCCTGGCATCTATACATTTGATTTCCTGTTCCTGAGACTGTCATCTTTCAGGTCACTTCTTCTAGTATTATCTGTCCCTCTACTGTGGCAGGCACCATCTGTGGGTCCACAGTCACTTTTACCATCTCTGAACCAGAGTGTTTTAAGTCACTGTGCTCCAATTCCTGCTCTCTCCTTGGAGTTCCCTCACCTTACTGAGGACTCCAATGCTGAGACTTGTTCTGATACACCTCAGTGTCCCCAGTGCTGGGAACCAACAGAATATGGAGTCTTCATTAACCTCCCCTGTATGTAGGCAAGTCGTTCCACCTATCCCTTCCTACCCTGCCTACTTTCCAGGTGAGAGGAAGAGCCTGCCCTGGGGTCTGGGTCAGAGTGGCACCTGTAGGGAGACACTTCCCTGCCTAGGGCAAGAGTCCCCTGGTGGACAGAGGCAGATGACAGGCTAGCACCCGACTTCAGGCAGCCACTCAGTGGCCATAACCAGGCTCAGGAGATAACAGCACAGAAGTAAACCTGGCATTGAGAATTCCTTGGAGCAGCCCCAGCTGGCCCAGACAGTGTGGAGCCCAGGCCAGGCCCAGGCAGGCCCAGCCATAGGAGGAAAGGCTTGGCTGGGTGCAGAGCCACTCAAATTCCTGGCCATTCTGGTTTCACTTGCTGACTTTGCTGTGGATCTTGAGCAAGCAGCTGCCTTTCCTTGAGCCTCAGCTTTCCATATGGTGAGGACCTATGAACTGACATCGTGGTTGTGAGATGACAAACCAGAGCTCCACCCACCTCTCCTCAGGGTCTAGGAAGCCCCAGTCCAGAGGAGGGATTGAGCCAGGCCAGGACCCAAGGGAACCAGGAATAGTAGCTGGAACTAGATCCAGAGCAGCTTTTCCCAGTGGCACCCTGGGGAGAGTGAGAGTATTCCAGTTAGAGAGGCCTCCCTGGGCTGCACAGCTGGGCATGAGCTGGCCAGTGCCAGAGTCACCATGCAGCCATCTAGCAGTCAGCATGCCATCGTGCTATTGAAGCCAGGTGCTGAAAAAAGCTTTTTGGTTTTGCCACCAGTTGATCAGATTCCACCACCACCCCTGAGGTATCCCCTCCTCTCCTATTAAGGGTATGGATTTAATTTATTTTTTTCTTTCAGTGCTGGGGATGGAACCCAGGCCCTTGCACAGGATAGACAAGCACACTACTACTGAGCTCCACCCCAGCTCAGCAAGATTTTTACATTTCTTAAATCCCACTGGACAGGCATTTTAGACCTCCTAGGAAAAGGCTAGACCTGGGGCTAGACTGAGCTTTGTCACTTATGAGCCCTGGCTCAGGGAAAAGACAAGCTCTTTGAACTTGCTTTAGGCTGAATGAGAAGACAAAAAAAAAAAAAACACTGGGAAATCTTATTCCCTTTATTCTCTTCAACTAATCAACATGACCACCAGTGACACAACACTGTTATTGACACACAACACTCAAAAGTGGGGCCTCTCTTCACAGGGATAAGTCAGGTGAGTGGGGCTTCCCTCATGGGGGCAAATGAGTCTGGGAGCTGCTCACCTCAGGGTGGAGGTCATGGAGCCCCACCTCTTGGTTGTGATGGTTTCAAGTTCCCCCCACTTCAGGATTCATGCCTAGTTCTTTTGAGTTCCCATCTGACCTCCATAGCCACAGCAGTTTCAAGTTTCACCCTAAGCTCAGATCAGTTTCTAGACCCTCCCTTCTGCTTTCACCAATGACTCCTGGCCTCTGGCTGATGGAGTCCTCCACTAGGGCACTTCTGAGGGCTCTGGGGCTGGCATGGAGTTGGATAAGAGGGTTTGACTATATTATGCCTTCCAGACTGTTCTGGTGGGCAGGTGTCTGGATCCCTGGCCCTGTCTGAGCCAGTCAGGACTCTGACACTGTCACCTCCCTGCTTAGTTTCTCAGATGTAGCTGGCTCTAGGAGGGATGAACCTGGCTAAAGAAGTTTGGGAAGGTGGGCAAGAGAGAACAGGCCACACCCAGAGGTCTCTGACTCTGCCCCTTTCCTACTGGGAAGCCCTAGACTCCACCAGCAGTGTCCATATCATCCATTCAGTACCTGAGCCAAGACCCTTAGCCTTCACCTGTCCCCACAACATGCGAGCATCCTACTATGTACGCTACACCCTAGTCCTCAATAGGCTACAGCTGACCTTGACTAAGACCACCTCCCCCAAAAGCTGTTCCCCAGCACTCTTCTGAAGACAGATTCTCAGACCTGTGTCTGAGAGAATCTGCTCCTAGCTTTAAGGAGTTTGTCTCTACAACTGAAGTTTCTGCTACCATCTTAGAAGGGAACAAATCAGCTTAGACTTGGAGGACTAATCTCCTCTGAGTCTTATAGGGACACCCCTTCATGGACATTTCTGACAATAGAGATTTGCAGTCAGGCTCCTCAGAGGACCTCTCCTTCCTGGCACTTGGGTGGGGTGGGGCTTAATGCGGAGGTTAACAAGGCCCTTTCACAATTATATAAGACCTGCGTTTCCTTTCCCGCAGCAGGCCTGATCTTTTTCTCCCACAATGTTATAGATTTTGATCCTTTTAGAATTGAGGGTTATCCCTTTGTGGACAGGATAGATAAGGGTGAAGGGTTTTCACCTTTTGAACTTACAGATAATGAGATTAGAGGTCTCTTTCACAGCTTTGTAGGAATCCAGGTAGCGCCTCTCTGGGCATGTGACTCCTGAAGAGCCACCTCACCTCTCAGTCCTCCTACTCCAGGACAGTGCATTGCTGGTGCCAGTGTGGGGTCAGGGGGCACTTCCTTTCCAACTGAGCACTAAGCAGAGTCCTCCCCATCTTTAAAGGTTTCCAGGGTTATGGGGGGATCCTTGTTGCAGATGCTTCTTTTCAGAGTCTTCTCTCTTTAACCATTTTATAGGGCACCCATCTCTCCCCATCACACAGCCCCAGTCACATAAGCAGGTTTGGCTGGGTTTATGAAATATAGCTGTGCAGTGTGTGAGGAGAAGTGAGACTGGTAGAAGGTTCTCATCCTTCCATTTCCCTCCAGTGGTTTCCAGCTAAG